CAGAAACGAAGACGGTTCTGTGAATTATGGGGATCTACATATAATTAACAACGAACAGTCCAACTGTCTCGCAAAGTGACATGCTTGTGCGCACTGGATGTCGCGTCTATTGATTTATCAATTTTTTCTTCAGCGTGTTCTATCATTCGCCCGCGCGTCGATGCTGCGTGCTCCAGCGCTTGTCAATAACGTATCTATCGAAACGACGAAGACCTATGCTATTTAAAATATGCCTTTAAAGCGACATTAATTGATTTTACGTAAACTTTAATTTGATCATGATACAGCATGATTCTAATGTAAGCATAGTGATTTAGATTTTGGTTCAGATTTGTTATCATCGTATTACCAATCTAGAGTTAACAAGTATTTTACGAATTACGTTTTTGACATATTTTCAACTTTAAGGGAATTATTCGGTATCTATTGGTGGACCATATTATATGAAGTAACGCTACGCATTAATTCTATATAGTGTAATCCGCTATTCAAGATATCGTAATATATATTTATTCACAATGTGCTTCGTATTATTTGTTTATGATGCATCGTGCGCATATCTCGCGCTTTCTAGGTCCGTTTCGCCTCGCTCGTTCTTCCGCTGGAAGCGTTACATTTTCCGTTATCTCCATCCTCAGTGTAGGTTACGTGCAAGCGGTAGTAACATTGAGAGATACGTTTAGTAATTTACGACACGCGAGACATTTCCGTAACAGTGGCGAAATCTTACGCACACGGACGTGTGCTCGTTGACCGAGATGCTGCAAGTAGCGAAATAGATGATACACAAAGACAATGACGTAAGTAGTAACAGCTAGGCAATTAATAATATTTGAATATGTCAGAAAGGTCGATTAGGGTTATAATCGGGGGTGTTATCGTCGGTTAATCCGACAAGAGTGTGAGCTCCGAAACACAGAGAAAATACATTGGACGATATACAAGGAAATATGAAAGCGAATATGCATGTCGTCCAACGCGAGCCGGACGTTGCATCCATTATCTGAAACGCGCGGACAAAGTTTCAACTTCCCTTCGTTCTCGTATCAGCTCGCTATAAAAATGGGGAAGAGGTCGCTCTTTGTAACGAGAAAGTCATAAGCTCTGTAATCTCGCATGTTTTTACATGCAGAAGGATAGGATATCACTATGCAAAGAGTTATCGTTAAATCTATGTGCAATCTTGCCGTTAGTGGAAGACGCACATATCTCTGCATGTATACAGAGATTTTCATTTGGACAATTCTTTTATTGTAGGCTACTAGAACTCGATCCTAAATATTTAGTTTTGTATTATTTGTGTGACGGGTCAGTCTCTCTCTCTTGTATCGTATATAAAATAAAAATAAATTTTTTTCTTTATTTTTATCATAAATTGAAACTTTATCCGATTTAATGACCGCGTGTACTTTCGTCGCGTAAAAGCTTCTGCAATTTTGTGCAATTAATATGAAAAACTGTATGTGCACACAAAGAGAAACTGTATAATGTAAATTGTTTCGTCATATCATCAACTGCATGATTCAATCGCGTTTCATGCTAGAGAAAGATAAAATGCAACACAAAAAATGGTTCATGACTTTTTCTAATATTTAGATTTAGACTTTTCTAATAATATTTCTAATAATATCTAGATATTTGTGGAATATTTCTTTTAATTTCTTCGCAGTTTTTTTGATGTTCGTGTATCGTGTCGCACGCAACAAACGAGGGTGACGAGGAGCGATATTGCATTCGTCTAATAAAATTCTGGTGATTTATTAAAGTATAAGGATTTGCCAATCCGGGTTTCTATGGTTTCTACAATTTTTTGAGAAATTCGACAAATCTGATTATAAGGATGAAACAACGTGGGTTGTATTCACATTTTCTGTAAAGCGCGATAACACCTCAGATAAATCCGCAAGTTAAGCTGCATTACGTCGCTGTCTTTTCCGGCTCGATTATTCCAATCCCTCGTTTTTCTCATTAATGTAACACAATATTAATCTATTAAATTCCTAAGAAAGGACAGTGGATATAGTCTTTCTTTCTTTCTTTCTTAGCGCGCAAACGCACAAAACGCCATTTTTTCAAATGGCTTTCTTTTCGATGGGTAAAACTGCATAATTTACGTGGCAATTTGACTCCAAAGCAATCAAGTACGAATTACTTTGTAAAATTTACAAGCGTGTGTGATTTTAATAGAGTTTCTCCTCGTAACGAAAAAAGTTCGTTGTTGAAATTGAATAAATTATCGTATTTATTTAGAACACATATGTTAAAATGGAAATTGCATTAATGGCTTAGTGATGTGAGTTAACAGTGAACAACGTGGAGTTTTACTCTGCGCATGTAGCCTGACATATAATGATAATTAATAGTGCCATGATATTACCATGATATTTCCATTTGTTTCGAACGTTTCGTGCCGACAAGATTGTCGTTGAGCACGAAAAAACGACTAATTGCTGCTTATCGAAAAATAAATCACTCCCGGATTCTGATGGCTCAGAACAATTTTTGATAAATGTATATAATCGCGAAAACGCGATCATATTTCCTCAAAATATTCTCACGTATTTTTTTCTAACAAACCTCTATGCCACGTTCTCTTGCTACTTTCTTTCTCTTCATATCTTGACTTCGTATTTTCATTGATTTGTGGACTATTAATCTCCTTAACTGCTCGATCGAGCTGTAACGCGATTGTACTCTTTCGTCAGGAAAAGAAAGTGGCAAGAAAATTTCGCAGAAGTAATATCCTCGTATTTCCGACCCACGAGTGCGATTCTATTCGACTCCTTTACGACTCGACTTTACGCAGTAGTAAACATTAAAGAGGTTTTAATCGATTATTTCCGTGTTCTTCAATGGGCGTCGTAACGAACCTCTGACCCTGCCTCCGTACACGCTCTCAGATATAAATACTGCAACGTACGATTATGCGCATCCTCAAGCACCAATCGATGTTGAAATCTTCGAGGACGTAACATTACTACATGTCTTTACACATTCAAGTAAATTCGGATTCGATCTTTATCAAATATCATACGTACTTGTTTAAAATACTTGTTTAAAATACGTTTATAAGATACTATTTATCAAGTATTACTAATCTCGAATATTAGATGTTTTGAAAATTGGGCGAATGATAAGCTTTAACGAAAAAGTTTGCAATTACGCACGATCAATATTTGCAATATTATATGTGAAATGATATTTTTGTCCAATAAAATTGTTGGATCGGGAAAAAATGTATTGTTTTATGTGTTGTTTCTTCGTACATACGTGCATTATATTCGCATAAACTTTAATCAAACAGTGAAATTATCCGACAAGATAACGATCGTGCTTGGTTGGAGGCCTAAGGTGCCGGCAGCATACAGAGCTTCGACCGCTGCCGCGTATTATACGATTTGAGAAGGAAAGAGAAAGAGTGAGAGAGAGAGAGAGAGAGAGAGAGCAAGCGAGCGAACGAGTAAGAGAGAGAGAGAGAGAGAGAGAGAGAGAGAGAGAGAGAGAGAGAACGGGGACTTACGAGGTCGATACGAACCAATTTCCTCTTCGCCACCGCCGTTGCACTCGGAGTGCGCGGAGCTTTTATCCTCTCCCTTTTGCCCTAGTGTGAGTTTCCCATTACAGACATAGAGAGCGAGAAAAGAGAAGTGGATGAACGAACGAGTGAAACGTTTATTAATGTCCTAGGGCAAGGTCCCTAATGAGAGACAAGTCACTGAAAATACATTTAGGGCAAAGTTGTGTAAGTCAATTGAAAATAACAAAAAATTTACAATAAATTTACAATTAAAAAAATAATATTACTCACGTATTTTACATGATTATTAATAATTACGAGAAGAATTCCAATAAATTAAATTTAATGTATGATACTATCGACTGTATTTTTGGAAAGTGTCTGAAGTGCGTGAAAAATGTGAAGTTTTAAGTAAGATAATAAAAAAACACAGAGATAGAAAGTAAAAAATAAAAGTGGGAACATTATTGTAACAAAAAAGATGTAAGATTAAAAAAAAACAGCATAGGAATACGAGAATACAACCGTCATAATATAGAAGTTCAATAGCTATTGCGTGGTGAGATATTGTACAAACTAACTTTAAACAATGGCAGTGTTGGAGAATAGTAAGAAAGCGAATTCCATATGGAACATTCTGAGTCGAGAAAGGAGCACTGAAAGATGTTAGTGCAACATTGTGATAGTTGCGATAGTGGTTAAGAATAAAGTCCTAGTTGAAGAAAGAGAGAGCGAGAAAGAGAGAGAGAGAGAGAGAGAGAGAGAGAGAGAGAGAGAGAGAGAGAGGGGAAGAAGTATATAAATGCGTCTATTATTTACAATGCTAGAATTCAAAGCTTTGATACTCAACAATATGTGAATATCATTGATTATCTTTGCGAGTTTTTATGTATATTAAAGACGAATATTTTGGAAAAAATGGATCTAGGAAGAAGAAAGAGCGGCTCTGTATTTTATCGAAAATATATTTTTATATCTATATTAAAAAAAAAGAAGAAGACGACAACAAAGTTTAAAAGCCAGAGGAAGCTGTAAGGACAAAAATATATAAAGAAGAAAAAATAAAGAAAAAAAATAAGAGAAAAGAGTTGTTTAAAAATTTTTGAAAAATTATTTAAATTTATCGAGAAGTAATTTAAAAAAAGAAAACAGAAGATATATGTTTTAGGAAACGTATATTTAAATAATTTGTTTATTTGACCCGTGAAAGAGAATCGGAAATTATTTGAAAAGATTGATGTGTATATTATTACACTTATTTATTTAATATTGAATGTTAATTTTGTATATCCATAAATATAGATATTTAAATCTAAAATTTAGTTTTTATTGATTCTTTCTGCATTTGTTGATTATATGTCTACGAGTACCTTTACCATCTACTATTTAAAAAATAGTTTTTTGTCATGAATCTTAAAATTGCACCTCTAAAAATGGGGAGAGTAAAAGAGATGGAAAAAGATGAAGAGAATGATTCACATACTAGTTTAAATCGTTGCATGTAGTTTTCATGATAAACCAAAGGAGTCAGGATCCATGCTCATTATTCCACCATCAAGATCATCCGACAATCTTCTTCGTGTCAGCTCACTCATGAGACCGCCGAGAGTAGTAACAGAAGTAATAGCAGCCTCCGTTGATCGGGGCAAGCAAGTCGTTCGATCACGCATCACCAGAAAAATAGAGTTACACACAGCACTTGAAAACGTGTTGCCAATGTTGATGCTCGATTCCATACGAGTCTATCAACTTTTTTCCTCCTCTTCCTTAATTGTTTCGTTTTCCCTTCTTTTCCTTCTTCTTCTCCTCCTTATTTTTCCTTTTCTTCTTTTTTTTCTTCTTTTATATATGTCTGTTCCTCTTGAAACACAATACCACAGTTTCTCTTTCCCACCAATTTTTTTTCTTATCTTCAGTTTTTTTGTTCTCTTGTTACACGCTTGATTTTTTTATTTAATAATTAATTTCCATAATTGTATACAGTGATAATATGTATGCAACGATTGAACTTTTTATCAATTGTACCAATGGAAACAATCCTGAATCGAGAATATTTTATCCCGACTACAAACTTTTGTCACTCTCTTCGCGTTTTCTTGTCGCGACAGTTGTGAAGACGGTGCACCGCACCCCTATCCCGTTGAGTCCGGACACGAAACAACGTATGATCAACACACGATGATAACCATCCAGCCTAGTTACATCACCGTCTGATCACCCTTCTTTGTACGAAAAATTTTTCGCGGGATATTTCCTACAGGACGCGCAATCGCATGTCCTGTTGCTCCGAGTTTTCAGAGTCGGAGGTGGCGATGCTTTCGCAGAAGGGCGACCGCGTTGGATAACGGGAAAGAGGGTGGATCAGCAAATGGAAAGGGAGAAAGGAAGACAGAGAGAGAGAGAGAAACTGAGAGAGAGTGTGTGTGTGTATACTGAGAGAGAGAGAGAGAGAGAGAGATAGAGAGTGAAAAAGAGAGAGAGAGAGAGGAAAGGGGAGAGAATAACTCGCGTTGGCACTCGCGATTTCGCGAAGCGTCGCGACGCAACGCAACGCAACACCAAGCCAGCTGAACGTTCGTCGTGCAACTAGACTGGGGTTCTTGCCGTTGACCCGGAACCACCTCGCGGCGCGCTTGCGCCGCATCGCGAAATTACTCGCCCTATTTGGAAAACCAACCTGCCGACGTATGGTGCAACAAATCGTCGTAACGCTCTAACGTACGTAAAAATTAGTACTCAAAACATTTAGACTCAAATGGTAAAACAATGTGCAAACTGTTTGGATTTTGATATAAATCTTAGAATCACTCAAATCTCATTCAAGATATATTTCAAATGGATTTCTTCCCGCGTTTTCTATGTATCTAACGAAAATCGAGAATTTCAATTATCGCGTGCCATCATTCATCCGTCAAAACGACACAGAATGTAGTTTTAATTTCACGCTGAAAGCGTCATGGTCATCAAAGAATAATTACGTTACATGAGAACAATTATATTACATTTTGTACGTATATAAATTTAAAAAATTCAAAACACATGAATGTTAAGAGGGCGTACAACGTGTATGCAATAGGATGAGTTTCCTGTCTTTCTGGTAATATCTCAAATACTACTTACAATGACATTACCCTACTGAAAAATACAATAAGTTCTTTCGTGCGAACACTGTATGACAGATTTTTCGGCTGATATTAGTTGGTATTTGCAGCAACAAGTGTTAGAAAATCGGAATAAAAAAGACTACGATGCGACGCCACAGTACGGTACACCGAATTATTCGCCATTCGTACTCTCACCTCCTTGTTGAATACTCATTGTGTCGCTCTCGTTATCATCGTGGAGCAGAAATCCACTATAGGCTGGTGTTGAAGTGATTCTCGACTGTGTGTGTGCGCATTTCGATATCGCAAGTGGAGACCCATTGGGGAGAATTGGCTCTATTAGTGCGTGTGAATAATGCGTGAATAATAATGCGATAAAATTCTTCAAGTATTTGCAACGCGATATAAAAAATCGAAGACATCAAAGTGACATTTAAATCGAATCAGCGATGGTGTCAAATCAGGGTGGTATCTATGTGTTAATATTCATATATCACTTCGATTTCACATACTCAAATCACATTCCCGGATATTTCTTTCATTTAAAAAACTATTTTTTGTTTTATCCAGATAGAATTCTAAATGTCATAGTTAAATTTTTTCATTGTTTTTCGTATCTACTAGAAAATTGTCTATGGTATAGAGAATTTGTAGCAGCAACATTCTAGTAATATTTACAAACAAGTCTTTAAGTAGGAATAATATATTCGTTTGTCTTTCGTCTACCATAGTCACTCTTATAAGAAATGTGACTATCCTTAATCTGAATCTGGGCGCCACAGAGAGACATACAGAGAAAGAGAGAGAGAGAGAGAGAGAGAGAGACTTTCTTTGTGCTAAATTTTACACATAATTCACATATAAATTCTCTCTCTCTCTCTCTCTCTCTCTCTCTCTCTCTCTCTCTCTCTC